TTTCGTATTTGCCCCCACCTTACCGGGAGAGGAGTGGGGGGGGGAGGCGGTGTTGCGACCACGTGGTGGTGGTGGTCCTGACACCAAGACATGAAGGGAAGATAAAAAAATAAAAGGCCTCAGTTTGTCTCTGTTAAACTCTGTTAGCACAGAAAGGAAGGCGGTTTATTTTGAACTTTCATTCATAATTCCATTTGAATACTTCAGGAAAGCCTGGGTTGACATTAATTGATTAATTAGTTCAAATGCAATTTACCTTATCTTCCCTGATATGGTAATCAATTTTTAGCTAAATAGAACTAAGACTATATAATTTTTGCAGCAGTTATTGTCCCAAGAATTGTTGCTGACTTTGAGAACACGTTAAGAATATTTAAGTTCTGCCAGTCTCAGTATGAGAACTAAAAATCTTCATGGTGCTGGTGACCAGCTTTGGCATGAGATCTCTGTTAGCAGCCTTCTGGCTAGGCCTTCTCTTGCTTCACTTGTCAGAGGTTGTTTGTGTATAAATGAGGGTGAACTGTGAAGGTGAAATCAGAACAGAGATTCCCTCAAGGCTACAAATGGCACGCATCAGCGAAGAATGTTGTACAGTCCTACAAAGCCCACAAATCTGTTGGGAAAACAGACTTATGCAGTTCTGTTATTATCTGAGAGCAAACTATCAAAATATTTCTTTTAGAGAGGGAAGATGGTTTACAATATCAAATGAGAAAAGGCCAGGGGAAGTCCTTGACAAGATGGTAGTTTCTGACTGTCTCATTACTAATGGCAGGCCAGGGGAAGTCCTTGACAAGATGGTAATTTCTGACTGCCTCATTACTAATGGGAATATAAAAAATAAAGCCAGAATGTGACCAACTGGAGAACTCACCTAAAAACTGCTTATGCACTTGTCATGGAGGACGAGCAGTGCTCTTCCATACATTGAAATGCTAGCTGTGTGTGAAGGTAAGTCAATCGTGGAGTATAATCAGCTTCCAATTCTGACACAAGGGCATCTGGAAACTTCACTAGCTCCAGGCTTCAGTGCAGTGAGACAGTCTGC